TCCTCCACATTGGCCTCGGATTCCTGCTCGCCATGGACCTGCGCGGCGCTGGGATTGCTCTGGCAATGGTGGCTGAACATGAGCGGGCAGTATGAGCCTTGAGAGACCTACAAATGCTTCTATTCCATACGTGAATCGAAGAAAGATCAAGTACCTGGCGTGGAGAAAACGCGTCCCAGAGTTGGACATCCGGCCCGACCGAGGTCTTGTCAAAGCTAGAAAATCAGTCTTCGCATCTGTAAAACAAGGAGGCATTCAGTTTATAGTGAGGAGGAAAAGGCACGCCTTACCGCAGCGATATAGTCGTCGATTACGTTAGACACAGGATCATGTGAAGTCCCTCTCAAGTGCTTTGCAACGTCGTCCAAGCCCACTGCAATCTCCTCCATCACACCCCCGAGGAACGAATGCGTCCGCGGCGTAAACCCCTGGATCTGCCATGGCAGCAGAATCCACACAAATTTCCACTTGCATGCCTTTGCTGCTGCTGACGTCCAAATGTTGTCACCGGGCAACCTATGAACAAGATCATCACTTCCGTAAGCATATGAACCAGCCGATATCCTTCCCAGTGTTATTTCTTCCCCGGGTTCCCGAGAGCGGCCTTTTTTCACCACAAAGTCTACTAACGGTAGACTGGTGTCTGCTTCTGGAGCGTACGCCTTTACCCCCGACACTCTGCCGTCGATCTTGTCCCAAAAGAGCTCCAGCGGCTGATATTGTCTCGAGCGCGTCAAACGCTGAGGAAAGATAGGCGTATCTTCGAATGCCCCGATGATTAGCTTTTTGAGCAGCCACTCGAGCCGGTCTGTATTCCCATGCACGTCCCTCAGTGAATCATACACAGCATTGCAGAAGACAGGTTCACACTTATGCAGCAGGTTCCTTCGTTGCAGGCACGTCCAGTAAATGTCCCTGGCGTAGTCCGAGACGGGGTGAAGCACCCACTTGGAATCCCGAACGAGGAAACGGATGTCGATATCGGAGCAGTGCCCCGTGTTTGCCTGCAGTCCAAAGCTCACGAACTGCGCGAACCGGCTAGTGTCCTCGCAGCTGCCAATCGTCGTCCGCATCTTCGCCACCCATTCTTTTTGCATGAACCCACGCACTGCTGCTCGCCAGTGTGAGCCGGATGACGATGACGATGACGATGAGGATCCTTTGTTGTTGGCTTGCATGATGGATTCCACAAAGTACCACACGAAGAGCGGGAGGCCACCTGTGAGGCACATGACCCGTCGAAGCAGCTCTTCATCAATTCTCTTGACGTCCAGCCACTTCCCAAGGTACTGGAGCGTCTCGTCGGGACTGAAAACGTTGTAGAACTCGGTTGGATCGTTAAACATGCGCCGCGCCTGCGAGCCGGAACAGTTCACGCACTTGAGAAAGGTTGTCATCCATAGCAGCTCCACCATGCGGCGGTGGACTTCGCCATTGCCAAGCTCTATTTCCTCCCACCGGTCAACCACGAGGATCGGGCGGTTAGACGTCAAAAACAATCCCACGTCCCGCCAGCAGCGAAGATCGAGAATCACCCGCATCCTGCCCTCGTCGTCCGCGTAGGCGAGCAGCAGGGCCCGAATCACAAGCTCCAGAGCGGCGGGCGGGCTGGTGGGCACCTCGTCGTGGAATAAGAGCGCGACGATGCGATGGGTCTCCTGGAGGCCGCTTTGGTAGTGCTCACAGACGGCCATGGCTAAAAGGTGAGACTTTCCCGAGCCCAGGCTACCAGCGAGCACCAAGTCTTTGTATTTGAAGCACCGGCGGAGCATACCTGTAATGAGAGCCACGGACGGCCGGCCTAGGCAGCAGAAAGAGGGGCACGAGTCGAGGAGCTCCGGCCATGGGACAGCTTCGTGCCAGCCTCGGCTGAAGTCCGTGTAGCGGCCTCTAAGAGCACTATGAAGCTGCCTAGCGTCAACCTCCATTAGATAGAACCCTAAATGTATTTTGGATCCGGCTGGCTTTTTCAGCACCAAGAAATGGATGAGTTTCTTCAAGCCAAGAATTTCAATCTGTGGGCCAAAAAGACTTCCAATACTACACTGCCTCTTCTCATGTCCTTGATTGCAGAGTGTAAAACACCAACAGCAAATGGCATTTACAATGTGTTCAGGGTGGACAAATCATACAAACTTGGCTGGAGTGGTTGTTCATGTCATCGTAGGAGTTTCTAGAAATGCTTCTAGAGAGGATCTATGGGCAGCATAAGTCCAACATTGATCCAGATGGTGTTTTGCCATTTCCAGACTATATGGACCACGCCAAAATTTGACTGGTATGCCTTCACCCCTGAGACTTTTCTGTCGACGTTCTTACGGAAACTTTCAATCATCACCCTTTCAACCAGCCATTGCGTGCGGCTCTTGTTCTTCAGCCAATCCTCCAGGACATTTGACAATGCATTGCAGAACACCGTCTCTGATTCACTGAGCAGCTAATACAAGTCCCTTGGATAACTCGATACAGGATGATAAGCGCCAGCTCCATCAAGGCGCAAATCACTCCATATTGCTTGATGTTTGCCACGCTAGTGCACAGGAACTGTGCCTGCTCACGTCCTGACAATAGAGGATGCTCATCTCCAAGTTTGCGATCATATCGCCACCCAGAAGAAATGACAGATGCACGTGCCTCAAACTATTCAAAACTTTGAAGGCACAGATGTCCCGGTAGATGAAGGAGCTTCACAGATGTAGCTTCATATATTGCATCACAGCATGAGCAAATTGTTAATGTGTTGCTCAAATTTGTGGATCAGCACTGGCAACCACTAGCAGCATCCACTGGTATGGCAGTAGCATCTGCCAGGGTTGTAGTACCAGCACCATCTGTTGGCATATTGTGCTTTTATGGCCAACTAACAGGGGACATGCATTTCAAGTTGCAGTGACATTGGGAAGTTCTTTCCACCTCAAGTTCTAGTGACACTGGGAAGTTTGACAAAGAAGATACTAAAGTCTCAGAAAACGAATAAAAGTTTTAACATAATTGTTTTGCAGCTCACATGAATTTACACTGCTTGGCTTGTCTTTTTTACTAATTTCAGAATCATTGGCACACTATTGCTCCTCGTCGACTTGTTTGCCTTGTCAACCAGGAACACAAGCATGTAGGCCTGCTCACAATGCATGAAAAAAGTGCATAAAAGATCGTGATGAACACCTGATAGTGACAGTTTTTCCAAATAGCCAACAGATTCATCACAATTATGTCAGTGATGGGAGATGCCAAATGTGAGTATATTGCTGATGCAAAATTATAATATTGAAACTCTAGCTCGCCACTGCAGAAGCAAACTCCCTAAAGGGCGCTACTAAAAGCCGTAAAATCAACTTACTTGGAGCCATACACTTAGTTGCATGAGTATGGATCATCATAAACGTGATATGATGAACAAACTGCCTGTAAAGTTCTACACATACCATTGTAAGGTCAAGAGTATTCTCGAGAGTCATAGACTACGAAGTCTACATAACACTGACATTTTAATATGATATTTATTGCAACTCTATAATATATTAATTTATAGTGATTAAGGATCTCATATTCATACAAAGTTTACAAAACTATAAAAATTAAAACTTAAATTGTAAAAATATATTATAAATATTAAAACTTTAATTATTATAAATATGTTTCTAAAAGATAAAAGATATAAAATTTATAACTTTCCAATATTAAATATAATAAATAAATTTTAATTTATATAATCTTATTATAGTTATTAATATTATTAATATAAAACTATTTTAAATTTATTATGTATGGTGTACTGAGGGATGAATGTTTTTATTATTTGAATATTGTTTTAATTTTATGGTCACAAACACAATGTTATTTCCAAAAAGATAAATATAAATCATAGCTATGAATAAAAACTGAGATATTTAATATTTAAGAAAAAATATAAATTTAACAAAAACATTTATATTGTGATATGAATTTATAGACACTAATACATTTATCTTTTTCTTTAAAAAATTAATTTTTAGCATTAAATCAAGTTCTATTCTTAGATGAAATAAAAATAAATGAGTTGTTTTAATTTATCTAATTTTATAAATAAAGTTTAGGTTTGGTAGACTAAATTATGAAAGAAGTGTAATAACTACAAAATTTAAAAGTTTTTTAAAATGTTTAAATAAATTGTTACACGTTGCATGTAACAATGTTTGCTTTGCTTAATAGTAGTGTTATTCTTACTTGTTAATCCAATTGATCAAATAAAGTTTGTAATTATAAACATGTTTGTAATTTGTAAACACAAGATTAATCTTATTGCATATCAACTATTAGATGATAGAATAAAAAAGAATATACTAGAAAGGGTTTATGAAAGTTTATAAATTATAAATACAAGATTAATCTAAATGAATAATAACCATTAGATGGTAGAATATCCTAGAATATCTAAGCATATTTTAGGTATATCCACTATTATCCCAGGATTGTTTAAGAAAACAAAAAAGAATATACTAGAAAGTGTTTAAGAAAATTTATAAATTATAAACATGTTTATAAGAATAAAAATTACAAGATATTCTATAATATCCAAGTATATTCTAGATATATTTATTACCATTTTAGTCCCCTTACAGGTTTGCTTAAGCAAACCAAAAACACTTTATATTACTAAACTTGAGTTTGGGCTTCATCTTGAACTTATAAATTATTTAAAAAATATACCAAAATTCAAAAATATTTTAAATGTAGATTAAAATATAAAAATCAATAAATAATAAAAGACTATTAAAATAAACTATACTGGGCAATTGTTAAGGGCTAATCCATGTATTATTAAATTATATGATTATTACAATTAATTTCACCACTTGGCCCAAGCACTCACATATTGTGTTTTAATATGATTTTAAATTTATTTTTCCTACTGGTTAACACATATTATTATAACATTTTACAATAAATAAAAATAATCATTTTTAAATACTTTTATATTAAATATATTCATATAGATTTGTTATTATAAAACTTAGAAGTTTAAAACTTGAAGTATATCATCAAAATCCAAAGAACTGAGCTTCCAAAGGAGGTGAATAACAAAGCCATAAATGCCTTGGCTCAATCCAAGGTTCCACTGGCGCATGAAAGTTTGCGCTTTTTCTCTCTTGAGGACTCACGACTTTGATTCTTCCTCTTCTAGCTTTTGGACGTAGGCCTTGAGCGTGAGCAGTAGCTTCCTGGCCGGAGCTTGGAGAACTCCCACAACTTTGGAAGATGGCGATTTGAGAACGCCCAGCAACTTCGCATAAACATCCGCTCGAGTGGGCATCGTCTCCAGCTGCTTGAACTCCTCGGGCGCGTAGAACTTCCCTTCAAACACCGCTCCAGTGAAATCGTTGTCTTCCAGCTTGAGCTCCTTTTGGAACGTGCGGTATGGCTTCAAGGCCGACGGGATCTCCTCCGTGTGGACGAAGAGCCACGCATTCATGCCTTTGAGGCAAGGCTTGAGAGCCTCCCACTTTGTCCCTTCGATCGCCTTGCCCACCAGAGTGTTCTTGGCGACGATGAGCTTGGTCGATTCCGGGAGGCTCCTCCGGAGATTTTGCATCTGCTGGACCGTGAGGCCCTTGTATTTCACTCCGGCCACCAGGTAGCTCGTCTCTAGCTGCTGCTTTACCTTCTCGACCGTCTCCTCCTTCTTCCTGCGGCTGATCGCCATCTCCACGTGCAGCAGCGATCCCCGCCGCATTGGCGCCGCCTGGATCCGCTGCCGCGAGCAGCAGGGGCTCCATATCTCCGAGGCGGAGGCGCCAAGGGTACCAGCATTGGCGATCGATGCCGCGAGAGTGGCCTCCATAGCCATCGCCATGGAATTTTGATAAGGTCCCTGTTTCTAGGGTTCTTAGCCTCTTGGGCCAGGAATCGAACCCGCGACTTCTAGGATTTGTGAGAATTAGGGTTTTTGGCAACGGAGAGAATGAAGAGCAAGGATCGCGGGGGCGATGCCAAGCGGAGGCGCAAGGATGAGGCGCCGGTCATCGATGATCCTCGATTCGCAGGCTTGCATTCGGATCCGCGCTTCCAGAAGCTGCCGAAATCGCGGCTCCGGCTGCCGCTGGATCCTCGCTTCCAGCGGATGTTCACGGACAAGGCATTTGTCGATCCTTTCAGCCTAGACAAGCGAGGTAGGCCTGTGAAAAAGAAGGAGAAGAAGAAGCACACGCTTGAGCGATATTATAGAATCGACGATGCTGCTGCTGCTACGCCGGCTCCCGAGGAGGGTCTCAAGGATAAAGAGGGAAGCGTCGATGTGGAAGAAGATGGAGGAGTTGAGAGGAATGCAGCCTTGAAGGAAGCATCCGATTCTTCTGATGATGGAGCTAGCGAGTCATCGTCGTCGGAATCATCGAGCTCGGATGTTGATGATTCTGGAGAAGAAGAAGAGGAAGAAGAAGAGGTATGTTCGATCGTCCTACTACTGAGCATTCGTGTTGATTACTTCGGTTTACTTCTTTCCTTTTCCATTCAAGGAGGAGAAAGTTGCCACTACTGACAAAGAGACGAGAAGATTGGCAGTGGTAAACATGGACTGGAGCTGTATCAAGGTATATCTTTTCTTTGAATCTCACTCCCTGATTGTGTTGTTCTTGTACAGGCTTTAGATTTGTTGATGGTATTCAATTCCTTCCTTCCAAAAGGTGGTAGTATAGCGTTGGTTGCTGTCTATCCATCTCAGTTTGGTCTGGAGCAAATGAAAAAGGAGGAGGTTCATGGTCCAGCACTTTTCAACTCAAAACAGGATGACGACCAGGAAGATGAGCTCGACATGGAGAAGCTGAGAGCATACGAGAAATCAAAGCTCAGGTTTGCGATTTTTTTTTTCTTTGTCGGTTGGCTGATTGGTTGGTGTGGATGCAGATATTACTTCGCGGTGGTGACTTGCGACTCTGTTAGCACGGCATCAGCTTTGTACACCGCTTGTGACGGGATCGAGTTTGAGCGAACATCAAATATTCTGGATTTGCAGTTCGTTCCGGATGACAGGGAGTTCACAGTTGAACCACGAGATGTTGCGTCTCAGGTACCATAGTATTGTTTTCTTACAAAAACATTGTGACGTCTTCTGTGCCAGATTGAAGAAGGGTACGAAGCTCCAGATTTCCAAACGGCAGCTCTGCAGCTAAGCAACGTAAAGCTCACCTGGGACGATGATGAACCGGTCCGCGCAAAAAGCTTGCGAAAGAAATTTGATCCCGATGAGGTTTGTCTAATTGTACCAAGCATTTCGATTTAACAAGAGTTGGTTCCTGCAGCTCAAAGAGATGGATTTCAAGGCCTATCTAGCTTCTGAAGATGAAGACGAAGACGACGAGAGTAGAAGGGAAAAGTTCAGATCTTTGCTTCTCGATAACCCAGATGAGGCACCGGATTCCAAGAAAAAAAAGGACGTGGACATGGAAATAACTTTCCCAAGTGGCCTTGAGGAACTGAACAAGAAGTACCTTGAACGCAACAAGAAGAACAGAGACGAGAAGGAAGAGACCGTCTGGGAGGCACAACTGAGAAGGAAAAAGGAGAAAAGGCTGGACAGGAAGAAGAAAGAGAAACACGACGAAACAGATGAGAAAACCGCGGTTGCTGCTGATGAAGATGGATTTAATGATCCATTTTTCGAATCGGATCCAGAGCGCGAGGCTGATGGTGCCTCCGAATCCGAGGACGAGAAGATAGTACCGAGGAAAGTGGACAAAGACGAAAGGAAGAAAAATAGAGAAGAAAGGGAGCTGAAAAAGAAGGAGGACGAACGGCGCAAGGCAGAGCTAGAACTTCTGCTCCTGGACGAAAACGGTGGGAAAGGTGGCGTGAAAGGCTACAATCTAAAGAAAGGCAAGAAGAGGTCCAAAGCCAAAGCCAAGGAATCGGATGCAAAGAATGAAGAGCTGCTAGCCAAGACAGACTTCAACGATCCCAGGTTTTCAGCACTATTCAACTCGCACCACTTTGCCATCGATCCTACAGATCCTCAGTTCAAGAGGCAAGTGCGCTTGTTTTCTCTTTCTTTGTGCTAATGTTTCCTCGTTCCAACAGGTCTGCCACAAAGCTTCGCGCTATTGCCGAGATGCAGCAAAAGCGATTCCAAGGACAGGCTCCTGGAAATGAGCCAAAACCTCGGGAGAGAAAAGAGAAGCTGGAGCTGTCGTCACTCGTAAGATCTTTGAAGAGAAAAGCCGCGGCTACGTAGCTACAGGCAGCTAAACCGGGTGAAATTTCTTCCAAAAATAATGGCAAAAAGTAAGGGAGAACAAAAGGTGAATGTCCCGATTAGGCTCGATCCTTTCGGTTAAAAATTGTTTCTCTTCCAGATATGGGACTAAAGCGTTTCCTTCGAGAGCGCAAGAGATTGATAACACGGTTGATATGGTTGGTGCCCGGCTTGATCATCCTCTCGATATACAACGGGTTCCAAGTGAAGAGCTTCACGGGTGACAATCTTCACCCTCCTCCATGGCAAAGGTGCAAGGATCCGAGCTTTTTCCACAGGCTGGGCAGACTCCCGACCTTGCGCAGGTGCCAGCAACTCGAGAACAATCTGATAATCGATCCAGTTCCCTTCCAAGCCGGGAATTTATCGCTCCCTCTTCAGTCCAGGAGATGCCCTGCTTACTACAGCAGGGTTTTCGAGGATCTCGCACCGTGGAAAGAGAAAGGGATCCAAGAGCATGACTTGGAGACTGCACGGAAGCACTCGGCTTTCAGGGCGATCGTCCGGGATGGGCGATTGTACGTAGAGCTTTACTACAGGTGCTTCCAGACGAGGATGATGTTTACAATTGTGGGAATCATGCAGCTGCTACAGAGGTTTCCCGGCCAGATTCCAGACGTGGATATCTTCTTCAATTGCCAAGACCGGCCTCAGATCACCAAGTCTGCCTTCGATGAAGCTCCGCCACCTTTGTTTGGCTACTGCAGCACGAAGAACCACTTCGATATCCCATTTCCAGACTGGTCGTTTTGGGGATGGTAAGCTTGACGATCTAAGCTTGAAACACTGCTAACGCTTTTGATCTTGCAGGCCGGAGAACAAGATCCTGCCTTGGAGGAGCCAACTCAAGAGAATCACGCAGCAAGCGGAATGGAAAGATCGAGACTCCAGTGTGCAGTGGAGGGGAGATCCGAGAACTTCGCAAATCCGGCAGAGACTCATAGCTTGCAACAGCACTGGTGATAAGACGCTGCTCGTCCATGGACAGAACTGGCGAGATCAAAGCGACTTGCAAAACTGGAAGCTGGAAAGCCATTGCCACTCCAGATACAAACTCTATGCCGAAGGATACGCATGGTCTGCGAGCTACAAGTACATCATGGGCTGTGGCTCCACTGTTCTAGCAATCGATTCGGACTACTACGAGTTCTTCACTCGGGATCTGAAAGCTGGAGTTCACTACGTTCCTATAAGTCGGGAAGGGAACCTCTGTCAATCGATCTCCAACGCGAGGCAGTGGGGGGAGTCGCATCCTGGAGAGGCACAGGCAATCGCTACTCGGGGACAGAGGTTTCTAGTGGAAGATCTCAGTCTGGATCAAGTATATGGCTATATGCTTCACTTGATCCAAGAGTATGGGAAGCTCCAGAAGTTCAAGCCCCCGGTACCGAGAGAAGCTCACGTAGTTCATCCGGGTCTGGTCAAGTGTTTGGCCCATCCTCGGGATTTAGAGACGCTGGAGCGCACTGCTATAGAAGCTATTGCTACGAAGGCATCCGGTTTGTGTTCTAGCAGCGTACAAACTATCTAACATTGAAGTAAAAAAATCTCTGTCATGATCTTGGCTTTATGAAAACTTGATGACAATGAAGATTATATCACTTCTCACTTGAAAGATCGCAAAGACATCGACCACGCCTGACAAGATCGAGCAAGACAGGGCTTCGATTCCATGATAATATCACGGCTCCCGATCGCCCAGCGAATACGTCCGAGAACACTCCAAGCGCAGCAGTAATGGTTTTGCATCTGATCCAAAAATTATCAGTAGCTTATATTACACAGCACTTACCATATGGCACGAATTTCAACAAGTGCGCATGGTTGAAGCTTTTTCATTTACGTACGTACATCCATAGATTTGTATCAAGCCAAGCTTTCCAGTCAATCGTAAGCAGGTGTCTAAACTCTTGTTAAAGGTGAAAATATTTGAGAAAGTGATGGCGTCTGGCCGGAGATTCTGCTTGATCGTCTCGTGGAAGCTCGGTGGCAGTCCCCAGCTCTGCTGTAGCTATAAACAGATCAATAAGAACACGACGTATGACCACCCTTTTTCAAAAAGACAAATCTAGCTGGTGAAATCTCTCCGTAAACAATAACTGTGCAAGCCAAGAATTTCAATTCGGTTGAGGTGGGCATTGTCACTGTGGTCCACCATGTCCGACCCTCCTTTCCATGCTATAAAACCTTGCATTCCAAACTCCACCATTGCCACAGCACAATGGATGCATCCCATTCATGCAATAGCTACAGCCTCCTTATCTCCTCCTTGCTCTTGGCACTCTTCTTTTCATGCAATGCAACTCAATGTTCTGATGATCAGGAGATTCCAAAGGTGTACATTGTGTACATGGGCGCTGCTGACCAGCATCACAGCCATTTGCTGTCTAGCCGCCATGCACAAATGCTCGCATCTGTGTCCAACAGGTGAATATCAGCCGCAACTCATCCAAATGCCCAACATATGACATTCATATGTTCTTTTGTTCCTTTTTGCTTTTTCAGACTTTTCTTATTCTTGTGCCTGGCAGAAGTGTGGAATCAGCCATGGAAACTATTGTCCACAGCTACACCCAAGCGATCAATGGCTTTGCCGCAGAGATGCTCCCAAGCCAAGCGTTTATGCTACAACGTAAATTCCACCACTTTCTCCATTCTTTTCTGCTGTTTCGCAAGATCTAAAACAACATATAAATTCCAAATTTCTTTTTCTTTACAGAGATGCCAGGTGTGGTTTCTGTGTTTGAGGACTACACAATGTCCCTCCAAACAACCCGTTCGATGAACTTCATAGGGCTGGAGGACGCATCCGGAAACACCGCAGCAAACTCGCTGTGGAAGAAGACGAAGGGTGAAAACATGATAATTGGAGTACTGGACTCGGGTATATGCCAGATTCGAATCTTTCATAGCTTTAAATCTTTCGCGCTTTCTTCTATAGGGGTCTGGCCAGAGTCGGCGAGCTTCAGCGATGCCGGGCTGCCGGCTTCCCTTCCTGCGAAGTGGCGAGGCAGCTGTGCCTCGAGCGCCTCCTTCCAATGCAACAGGTAGCGTGGATTTAGATCTCTTTTTGCGTTCCATCAATTCGATCGATCTTCTCTTGTATTGCTGGATCTCGATGGAGGCGCTTGCAGGAAAGTGATTGGCGCGCGTTATTACGGAAAATCTGGAATCGCCGACCCGACTCCTCGCGATACAACTGGGCATGGATCTCACGTCTCCTCCATAGCCGCAGGAGCTCCTGTGGCCGGCGTCAACGAACTAGGGCTTGCGCGAGGCATCGCAAAGGGCGTCGCGCCCCAGGCTCGAATCGCCGTGTACAAGATCTGCTGGACAGAAAGAACATGCTCGGCCGCCAATGTTCTCAAGGGATGGGACGATGCGATTGGCGATGGTGTGGACGTGATCAACTTCTCGGTGGGAAACAGAAAAGGTTCCTACTGGTCTGACGTTGCCTCCATCGGTGGCTTCCATGCCACGCAAAGGGGGATTGTGGTGGTCGCGGCTGCTATGAATGGTGACGCCGGGTGTGTTGTCCAGAACACTGCGCCGTGGGTGATGACCGTCGCTGCGAGCACGACCGATCGACGCCTCCCGTGCAACGTCGTCCTGGGAGATGGTTCAGTATACCAGGTAAGTTCTTTTCTATCATAGCTGATTTTCTCGTTCCTTCTAACTTTCATGTCCAGGGATCCAGCCTTGCCAATTTCGATCTCGGCAATACTTTCTATCCTCTGGTGTATGGAGGGGACATCCCTGCTAAGCCTACAACTTCACCCGCAAGGCAAGCATGTGTGCATTCTTTGTTTTATTTTGACACCAGGATTTTCTATGTTTTTCTAGTGCTGCCGGCTGCTCCCCTGGAGCTCTGGATCCTGCCAAAGCACGGGGAAAGATAATCTTTTGCGGCGCTCCAGAGCCATCCAGCGATCCTATCAAATATGTCACTGATGGAATGAAAGCTATTGGTGCCATTGGCTTCATTGTGGGAAACAACGCAGTTGGCAAGGAGAGATTGCTGTCACTCAGATTCACGATGCCTGCTACTCAAGTTGGAAACAAAGCTGCAAATTCGATTTCTTCCTACATCAAGTCAAGCATGTAAGCGAGCTTTGCTCGATAGCTGATTGATCACGTCTTTTAGGAATCCAACTGCGACGATTAAAACGCCAACAACAGTGCTTAACCAGAAGCCATCGCCCATGATGGGAATCTTCTCTTGTAAAGGTCCCAACCCTGAAGTCCCAGACATTCTCAAGGTCTGTGTTATGTGATTTGTATATGTTTCACACTGACTAATTGTATCGGCGTTTGTGCGAGTGGAAAAACAGCCAGACATAACAGCTCCAGGTGTGGACATCCTTGCCGCATGGTCAGAAGCAGCTGATAAGCCACCTCTCAAGTATAAGTTCGACAGTGGAACTTCGATGGCCAGTCCTCACGTTGCCGGATTAAGCACACTGCTCAAATCCATGTACCCGGGTTGGAGTGCGGCAGCAATCAAGTCTGCGATCATGACCACAGGTATGACTTAAAAGCTGCCGAAATTTCTCACAGTTCTCATCCTTCACCACAGCTTACACACAAGACAGCACTGGGAAGCCAATTCTGGACGGGGACTATGACATCGCTACTCCCTTCAACTATGGATCCGGACACATCAACCCGGTTGCAGCAGCAGATCCAGGGCTTGTTTACGACGCAGGGGAGCAGGACTATGTTTCTTTCTTGTGCAACATTGGCTTGTCTGCAAAACAGGTCGAACTTATAACTGGGAAACCCGAGACATGTCCTTCCGTCAGAGGCCGAGGCAACAACTTAAACTACCCCTCAGTGACAGTCACCAATCTGGCAAGAGAAGCAACAGTGACAAGAACTCTCACCAGTGTCAGTGATTCGCCAAGCACATATAGGATTGGTATAACTCCACCAAGTGGGATCAGTGTTACTGCCAATGCAACGAGCTTGACTTTCAGCAAGAAGGGGGAGCAAAAGACGTTCACGCTCAACTTCGTTGTGAACTATGATTTCCTGCCTCGACAGTACGTGTATGGTGAGTATGTGTGGTATGACAACACACACACTGTTCGCAGCCCGATTGTGGTCAATGCGGTGAGTCGCCTTGCAAGTGGGGAAGGGAATCTGGTTTATGAGGTTTAAAGAGAAGACCTTTACTAATTATTTTTAATTATCTTTGCTGAGTATTTGGGATTGTGATTTTGTTCTTATTCCTGGTGTTAGTTTTTTTGCAAAATGTAGGATTATAGGTAGCCAATCTATTTATTTTGATTTCATTGCATTCTCTTTTGTTATACCACACTGTCATGATTAATAAGTGTGTTGTTTAAGGCTATAAATGATATGTTGTCCTTTATGTTACCATATCCTTTTCAAATCGAGTTTTTGGTTATGATCTTATTGGTACTACTTCAATATTTTTTCAACAATCCTTAATATATTGAGTATTTGTTTTATTATTGTTACTAAAGAATATTTTTACTCCCTTCAAAGTATGATTTTTTTATTCATTTTCCTATTTCAAGTGTTGAGGCAGTTAAGTGGTGTGAATTTTTTGTTTACCTTGTGCTAGCTAAAATATCCTAGTATCTGAACTTTAAATACATTTTTTTCTTTTTATTTTCTCATTTTTGCTTTAACAATTGTTAAAATAATTTCTTTTATGTTTCTCTCTCCACATTTTTTTCTTCCACACTGTTTCTTCCTCAATTTTTTTTTCTTTTTCTCTTTTTTACCTTGATGCTTCAAATATGTTTTCCTTCGAAAGAGGGGTAGAGGGGAAGAATGAGAGTCCAACTTTGATTATAGAATATTGACAAGTGGATACAATAGTAGAGTGAAAATGGACTATAAATTATGAAGTGAAAAATGACAAACATCATAAGTCCAAATGAAATATTTAACCTCAACACAATGAAATTAAACAAATACAAAAGTGAAGGGACATTGAACATAGATGGTAAAGTGAGAATGAGTGTAATAAATTTAACTAAAGTTGGTGTTTCAAAACGTTTTTTTTCTTTTGAATAGAGGACATAAGGAAATAGAAGATGAATAGAGTGAGTCTATTTTCATAAAAATGACATTTTGGACAAAAAAAAAGAAGTTGTGCATCTAAATTAACAATAGTCTTGGAAGATGGCTAGTAGGCAAATTTAAAAGTGAAATATTATAAACAACTATAGAAAATAACTTAAGAGAAGATTTATTGGGATTCATATATACAAGGAAAAGGCAAATAAATAACAGTGCACCCCAAAAAATTTAAATTAAAGAATTTATATTTAATATTAAAAAGGTTTCAGATCCATTTTTGTTAATTGGTTTAAAGAAATCACACCACATATTAAAATTGATATCTTATAGTTAGTTTCTTTTGGTTAAGCTCTAAGAGATTTGTGG